ATAAATGTCCTCTGCGGCCGCATGTGGCCCGCGGGCCGCAGTTTGAGGACCCCTGACTTAAACCATTGTGCCACTAGGGCTCACTTCAGCTAGTAACAACAGTAATTTTATATATATATATATATATAATTTTTTTTTAATCTCAAAATTACATGATCCAGAGGGTAGCTCTAGTGACAAAGATTATTTTGATAGAGCCACTCTGAGGCAGGTATTGTATTAAAACTGTAGAAAAACGTTATACTAGATTTCAATTTAAAATTAAGTATACTTGTCAATGTGTATTTAAGCTAAGCATTTTAATTTTTATCAAACTGAGGATCAAAATCTGCCAGCAAACACAGAAACTTCAAAAATCCTTCTGAAAGAGGAGAAATGAATAAATTAAAAATGTTAGGTCCATTTTCATGGCATAATATCGCCATCTTGTGGCACTTCTGAGAATTAAACAGAATTGTAGTTTGTGGTTTTTTAATTCATATACATAAACTGTATTACCTGTGGTTTCTCATAAAGGCAAGTGATATTGGCAAAGAAATGAGTGTCAAGTGTATAAAAAGATATAATCCCTCACCGTTCAACAATTTCAATGTAAATAAACAAGTAGTAATGTGCACAAAACTCCAAACTTGCTGCTATGAAGTTGATTTCAGCTAATAGTAACTGTATAGGACAGGGTAGATCTGCCCCTTAGGGTTTCTGAAATTATAATTCTGTATGGAAGTAGAAAGTCCTGTCTGTCTCCCAAAGAGTAAATGGTGTTTTTGAACTTCTGACCTTGTACTTAGCAATCAAACTGGTAACCTCTATGCTACCAGAGCTCCTGTGTAGTACATACTGTTTGTAAACTAACCTGGAAAGAGAATTAATAATGAGTATGAATAAAAGTCATTTTGTTAATGAGCTCTTAACTGGTTTTAAATATCTATATAGAGGCAAGAAAAGAAACTGCTATTTAGATGTACTGATTTAGGAAATTATAATTTACTATAACCCAATAAATTACTATCTCCTGGGAATGCTAGAGCAGAGACAAACATTAAAACAAACAGAAGCTACAAATAAGTTATATTTAAAAGCTGATGATTTGAGAATTTTCAATACATTTTCTTTATTGATGACAATTCTTACTCCATAAATACTGAAGCTTAATAGCCTATTAAAAGTGAGGGTCTTGGCACAAACCTCTTGTCTTCACAAATTTTTGACCGAGGATCCTATACTTTGTACATTTTTGTTCATGGTCTTGAAGATGGTGATTTTCTTTTATATTTTTAGTCAAAATTGTATTAAACTTTATCACCTATGCCATTTATTGAAATAAAATAATCTAGATTTAATTGTTGGAGGCTTCCTTCTGACATTTAAGAGAAGTTGAATTCCTAATGAATTTTGTTTATTTTCAAATTGTAGCCAGTCGGATGATGATTCTGGGTCAGCTTCAGGCACTGGATCTGGTTCAAGTTCTGGAAGCAGTAGCGATGGAAGCAGTAGCAGTGACTCTGACTCTGGATCTGAATCAGGCAGTCAGTCAGAGTCTGAGTCAGATGCTTCACGAAAAGACAAAGTTCAAGCTAAACCACCGAAAGTTGATGGATCTGAGGTAAAAAATATCACATGAAATATCGTTTTCTACAAACAACAGAAACATGGGTGAAGGGAGACAGCAATCGGTGTAAGAAATGAAAATAATAATTTATAATTTATCAAGGGGTCACAAGGGTGGGAGGGGAAAAAAGGGGAACTGATGCCAAGGGCTCAAATAGCAAGTAAATGTTTAAAAATTGATAATGGCAACATATGTACAAATATGCTCGATACAATTGATGTATGGAATGTTATAAGAGCTGTAAGAATGAGGGGGAGGCAGGGTAAAGGAAGCGGGGTGTCAACCCAGGGACAAAGGAACAACAGGTGTTCTGAAATCAGTGGCGAGAAGGATATATAGGATACCTTGTGGGTCTTTATAAAGGGTAATGTAGCTGAGAGGAATTACTGAAACCCGAATGAAGGCTGAACAGGATATTGGGATAAGAGGAAAGGAAAAGGAAGTAGAAAGAACTAGGAGGCAAAGGACATTTATTTAGAGGTCTAAATACAGGCACGTACATATGTAAATATATCTATAACAATAGGGAAGTAGATCAATGTACATGTATTTATATGTTAAGTATTAAGGTAGCAGACGGACATTGGGCTTCTACTCAAGTACTCCCTCAACACAAGAACACTTTGTTCTAATAACCGGACATTCTGGGATGCTCACCTTCCTGACAGAATCGCTGAAGACAAAATGGGTGCATAAGCAAATGTGGTGAAGAAAGCTGATGGTACCCGGCTATCAAAAGATATCGTGTCTGGGGTCTTAAAGGCTTGAAGATAAACAAGTGGCTATCTAGCTGAGAAGCAACAAAGCCTACATGTAAGAGGCACACCAGTCTGTGTGATCATGAGGCATCAATGGGATTAGATATCAGGCATCATAGACCCAGAACAAAACATATCAATGTGAATATGGGGGAGTACAGAATGGAGACCCAAAGCCCAACTGTAGACAATTGGACATTAACTTACAGAAGGGTCACAAGATACCAGCTAGTCAGGGTGTAGTATAGCACCAATGAAACATACAACTTAACTCCCCGATTCTATCTTACAAAGCCGGCTAGACCAAAGCATGTACTGGAAACAGAGAATCCAGGACAGATAAATCCCTCCAGACCAATAATGAGAGAGGCGATACCAGGAGGGGAAGCGTAAGGTGGGAGGAGAAAGGGGGAACCGATCACACTGATCTACATATAACCCCCTCCCAGGGGGAAGGACAACAGAAAAGTGGGTGAAGGGAGACAGTGGTCAGTGTAAGATATTATGGGG